GGGGGGTTCTGCGCTATGTTGCTCCTATGGAGACGAACGAGGTAACGAGGTAGTCAAACTGGTGGGAATGGTTACGTCTGTATAAACCCATTTGCTGAAAGGAATATGGTTTTTGGTTTCCATTGTATTTTTTCCCTGGGGGCTTGAGCAAATGGAAGACTCACTCCCTGAGTTCAGGGACTATAGTCACTTTCGGAGGTTGGACCATGTTGTTGGCAAACAGACAGTTTGGCCTCCTTTTTTCGGTGCCCAGTCCAATCAGGAAGAGAGATCATGGGTTTCGGAGTCATTCCACCGATTCGGGGTAAAAGGAGCAAGAACCCATGATGTCGGTCCTTTGCTTGGGCATCCCTTGCTTCATTCAGTCGTTGGAGGTGTTGCAACAAAAATGCTGATGTCTCCGCTGTGCTTGGTACGTTGCCCGAATTGGGTCTTCGCCAATTCTTAGTTTGGGGCGGCCTCGGGGCAGGTGCGGACAGGTTCCAAGGAGGTTGCGGGGAATGTTTTTTTGACCGATGCTGGTTGGAGTACTTCTTGGGCATCCTTCTGGTAGTATTGAAAAAGTGTTGGGTTTGGCATTTCCTCCACCTCTTCCAACTGCTTACGCCCCAACACAAGTGCGGACGTTCTCGGTACGTGCTTTCGGACGTCTACCCGCCCCTATCTGCCCGCAAAAGCTATCAGCTGCCAGAGGCAATGAGCAACACCAAGGCATTGCTCATAGAATTCCCCACCCGAACGAACTTTCAGGGGGGGGGGGTTGGGCGCCCCGCTGATGGACAACATGCAGTAGGTGGGATGGACAAACCCCTGCCATATTTGTTGGACAACCACCTACCAACTGGTGCGAAATAATTAGTTTTCATCCACAGATAATGTGCACCAGTTGGATAAACCCCTATATATTTTGGTTGGGCCACCACCCAGCAGCTGCAGGATTTCACCCACCGTATGTGAGCTGCACGGTCATTCGTGCAGAGGCCTCACTAAGCACCGCTGAGTCCTGCGCAGGCGCCGCCCGCTCCGGAGGCTCCAGCAGCAGATGCGACGCTCGGCCTTTTCCGGGCCCGCTCGTCGCGGCCGCAGCTCAGTGAATTCCGGCCTGAACTTTTCGGGATGGGGGATGGCTTCTCCCCGAAAGAAAAGGTCAACCCCAAAAGTTCAAAGGTTCAGAAGTGGGACCTTTTGGACCCAACGGGGGAGAGAGAGAGAGAGAGAGGGAGAGAGAGAGAGAGAGAGAGAGAGAGAGAGGGGGAGAGAGAAAAGAGGTCAACCCCAACAGGATTCTCCCCAACAGGATTCACTTTGTCAACCCCAATGCGCAAATGGGAACATGCGCAACTGGGAACTCCAAGAAGCTAACTCGATTTGGGGGTTAAATTACTGACCAAACCTGACAATCTTTCGGAGCCATCTACGTGGGCAAACCCTTGTGCGCAACGCAGACTCCATCAAGCTGTATTTTGGGGGAGTCCTGTACGAGGCTTACAGGATCAATGTGTAGGTTTCATTCGATACTTTGGCCCGCCAATTTATGACACCCCCGCCACATTCACATTCGTTGCACTTGGATTTGCAGAGGTGTATTTGCAACATTGGCGTAGACATGTTCGCTGTGGCTGGCCCGACCCTTTGTCTAAATCCCCCAGCTAGTGCCCTTTCTCATCCTTTCTCACCCCTTTTGTTGGGAGGGTTCCCCCTACTCAAATAGACTACAGAAAAAAAAAAAGAAGAAACAACAAACGCTGTACCCTTATTCTAACCTCTCTACTGGAGGACCTAGTTGTGTTTTCAGCCAGCCTATGTTTGTGTAAAGTAGCGAGAGGCTGTGCAAATTCAGCTCGCAGGTATGGGCTTTGGAGGTATGGGGGTGATGTAATTTAAGCATTGGCAAAGCCAACACTTAGGAGCCAGATTAATAGATTTGTTAACATGGAGGCCGTTGTTCCCTCCAAGAGTGGGCTGCATCCCCACTAAAACCAGGCACACCCCCAGATAAATACACAGGGGTTTATAAATCCGGGGTCAACATTAGCTCCAAAAAACCCCACACGCATGGAGGCGCGGAAAGCCCTTCTTGGGGAAAAAAAAGAAACGGCAAATCCACTGTTTTGCTGAGCCCTATAACTTGAGCCACTTGGGTTCGGACCATTTGAGGGGTACCTGCAAGAACTTTGGGATTTTGTGTTTTGGCCAATTCATTCTCGATAAAGTGAAAATCACTCGCTTTGCCTTTTTTTGCGAGAGGCAGCCTGTGCAAGCCATGTTTGGGGCATCAGTAAATGCAGTCTGGACCAATTTGGCGCCGAGAATGCAGTGGATTTATGTCCGGGACTTTGTTCGACGTCTCGTTTTGGACAGGTCGTTGGGAACACGTGCATTTGCCATCTAGCCAGCAAAAGATCCACACTTTTGCTGGACAGCCAGCAAGTCGTTGTAGGGGCTGCTTCGAAAGAAGGCTTTGCGGAGGATCTAATTGCCGCACGAAACTTGGTCCTCTACGGAATATTTTTGAGTGTTGTTGTTTTTTGTTCAGGATAGTTGCCGAACACCACAACACCGCGGGATTTCGGAAAGAGCGATGAGTCAAAATTAGCTTGGCTTTTAGCAGCAAGGTAGGCGCCCTAGACAACGGGCAGAGCATGCAAAAAGCGTGGGCTTCAGTGCTTCGTGCTTTTCATGACCGAGTGCTTCAGGCAGCTGAAGTCTCTTGAAGAGAAGCTGGCCAAAGCGGAGGAGTGCTGTGGGGCAGTTTGTCGCCTTGGACGCACTCTATCGAAACACTTCGCTGGGCCCTTCGAGCAAAAAACTTGGTAGAAGGGATCGCTGCAAGCCTCAGCATGAAGGCGCAAGAGGACAGCATATGTTTGAAAAGATGTCCCTGGAGTCTCCATGACCCTTAAAAAATGGTTGGTCATGACCCAAAATATTGGGTTCACTGACCCATTTTTTAAGGGTCATGGAGAGTCTAGGTCCAGATTAGCATCACCAATATTACTTTTCAACCATAACTTAGTTCCTAATGGTTGGTGGGTATTTTTCTCCATTTCTAGCAGGTCGATTCCAGAGGCAACCTCCGGGTGCACATGGTGTACCCAGATCCATTGACGGTCAAGGCCAAAGTGGCCAACATTGTGTGCCCTGGCGAGACTCAGAACGCCATGGTACTTGTTGTTGTTGGTGTTGGTGCTGATGTTGGTGTTGGTGTTGGTGTTGTTGTTGTTGGTGACCTTGCGACTTTGCGGCCTCCACAAATACCAGCGTGTTTGGGTAGCTGTGTTGTTGGCGCCCACACCCGCCACACTGCCCACATGCTGGCACATGATAAGCACACCCGTGGATGGACGAAATCCTGCACCACCTAACAAACCCTGGCATGAGGATTCGCTTGTGAAAACCAACAAACAACGCTTTCCCATGGTTCCAAGGTGGTGCAGGATTTTGTCCACCCACACTATGACGTTGTTTTTCTTGGCGTGCAAGTTTAACCTTGTTTGCCACTGATGCCCATGATCCGGCTCTTGGCCCCATGGTTGCAACCAATTCTCTGACTCCTCTGAGTGTGTGCATGGACGTGCTTACCGTACTTATAGAAATCTCAATTGCCCAAAGCCGACCTTTCGAGCTTTGGCTTTGTAGATGGAATCGATAAGACAAATTTGAAGGACGTCACTCGGCGGCGTTTTGTCCAGGATCTGAGCCTTTGGTTCCAACCGGTGTTGGTCCACTTGTCAAGGTTTCACCCAGTTTTTGCTTTTGTCGGTTCAACAGGTTGCCCTCCTGCAGATCAACATGGAGCCCTACAAACCATCATTCTGAGAGAGGACCATCCTTTTTGGGGGAACCCGCTTTTGGGGGTTCCTTCCGTTCATTTATTCGACAGCCCCTTTACATAGGTGTCCCTTTTAGGCTGGTTTGGTTAAGAATAGAGGGCCCTGTTTTCATTGCATATGGCCATGGTTCAAAACCAATGGTACCATTTTGGGATAGGTGCACCACCCATTTTAGTCTATTTTAGTTGGGCATTGGGATGTTCACTAGGGGTACGGTTTTTTTTGACCCATTGCCATCTACCTAGGCTCTCCATGACCCTTTAAAAATGGGTCAATGACCCCATTATTTTGGGTCATGACCAACCATTTTTTAAGGGTCATGGAGACCCCAGGTGTGGTTTCATGGCCATCGAATTTTGCCCCAAAGGGACACCCACGCCCAAAGCGAACTTCCAGGTTCGGTGTTCTCACCGCTTCGCCGAGGAGGCGGCACGAGAACAAGAACAGCTGCAAGCGGAGCTCCTGGAGCTGAAGGCGCGATCTTTCGGGGCCTCGTTGCCATGGCACCTGACAGGGGGTCCCTTCAGGAAATTTCATCTACCATACCTTACAGGTGCCATGTTAGTTGGAGGAAGGGTATGTGTGTTTTTGTTTGTTTTAATCAACTTGAATTCATTGAGCCCCTGGTTCTTGTCGAGGGTAGATGGGAAGCTACCCAAACCGCCGGGTTTATGGGTAATGCTGACTCTTTAACCAAAACAAGGTGATGTTTCTGTTGTTGTCTTTCTTTCTCTTTTTTATGGGTAATGCTATGGTTCTCTTGTTGTTTATGGGTAATGTTGGCTTTTTAAGATTAAAAAACGACAACAACAACAACAACAACAACAACAACAACAACAACAACAACAACAACAACAACAACAACAACAACAACAACAACAACAACAACAACAACAACAACAACAACAACAACAACAACAACAACAACATGTAATGTTTTCTTTGTTCGCTTTTTTAAGATAGAAACAACATGTAATGTTTGTTGTTGTTTCTTTTTTTCCGGTGTCACTTGTACGATAAACTTTCTGGACCCTGACCGGTTTGGATCCGTCTCCGGCAACTTCTTGGGCATGGCGACGGAGGCCCATACCTGTTCCGGACGAAGAACCCAGAAGTGGGTGGTGTTGAACCTGTTTTATTCGCATGGTTGGTGGTGTTTGGCCATCCAAAAGTGGGCTGAATCCCCACGAAACCCAGAAATGGACACCCCCATGTTAAAAAAAAAAAAAAAAAAGCTTGTTAGCAGTATATTCATCAACCAACCAGTTGATTGTTAGCGGCGGTCTTTGGCCCCTCCAAAAGTGGTCTAAATCCCCACTAAATCATGAACATGCACCCGGGTCACTCTGAGCCTAGCTGGGTTTGTGTATCCCAGACTTGGGTCACGGACAGAGCAGGGCAACATACAATACATAGAATCTTTCTTCAGGCGACTGCCCTCTTTGCGGTCCAAGTTAATTTGCAGGGCAGCAAGGCAAGTGGGGAACAAGTTAGACATGTTGTAACCCGGGGGGCAGTTACCGATAATGTTGCGTGGTGGGTTGTGTTTCTTCACATTCACGTTGGTCCCTCCAAAAGTGACTCTACCCCCGACAGGTCTCACGGGCTGGGGGTGGTATGTTTGCATTTTTGGGGGTGGTGTGTGGGGGGGGGGGGGGTAAGGTCGCTGCCCAATGATGCCATCGAAGCGGGGGGCTATTTCATATTTTTTTTGCCTCTTGTTCATTTCATTGGACACCTGCGTTGGGCTCAAGAAGGCGATCCACTTACCTGGTTTATGCAAAGCCAAGCTTTCCAGCTTTTTAGATTTATTGGTTTTGATTCCCGGTATTTGAAGCTGCAGAGACGCCTAGACCATATGACGCACAAGCCCTCGTTAAGGCTTATGTGTCCCTCATATGCCTCAAATATGGGTTAATCTTCGACGCTAGGACAGTTGAGCCCAGATGTCCAATTCGTGTCCTATTTGTTGTATGGTGGCTAACTCTAACCCGCGAGCTTTCCCTGAATTGGCAAACCAGTTTGAAAGTTTCCAAATATTTCATGTCCAGCGAGATGAGGTTAGTTGGAACTTGATCTCTTCGGTAGGGATCAAACATACATGATGTTGTGTCCACCAACCATTTTCATGGTTTTTCCCATTAAACGTCATAGCCATGTATTTCAGGGGCTCCGCAGGCTCTCCATTGTCAGTTGGCGGAAAGTGGCCGACTATACTGAGCCGAAATGCCTCATTCATTTGGGTGAATCATGGCGAGGCCCCAGGGAAAAGCGAGCTTGCGCAGCATGATGATGGCCCCATGTCTGCGTGCCATAGGCTGCCGCGGACAAGGGCGCAAGCGGCAGCGGCACAAGTGGTGTAGATGCCCAGGAGCTGCTTGGCTGGACAGAGTTGGGATCTTCCCCAGAATTAGCTCCCCTGTTTGTTTTTTTGCTCTTTTGGGGTCCCTTTATTTTCCACTAACCTGTCAATCGCGTGCCTTCGCTTGGAGATGTTCATCAGCAGATCGCAGCCGATGTGAATCCGTTTGCCCAGGGGCTCAGGTTTAGGGGAAAAGACCTTAGAGGGCGTGGCGCCACGGGGAAAAGGTCGCGGAGGAGCTCTCGGAAGGCGAGGTCGCCTGGGGATTTACATTGGTAGCGGAGCAGCTTCAGTCTCAGGGAGACGCTGCCGGCGGCCTGGACGATAGGCCAGGGAGGTGGAAAGAAAAACCGGAGGTCTGAACGAGAGACCAGGTGCAGTGGCTTTTGCAGTTGGGTGATTGCAGTTTTGAGGACAGCTTTCGCTGGTTGCAATGGCGCAGGGAGAAGCAGGAGGGGGATTCGCAGGGGTTCCCACGTAGATAGCGCAGCTCGTGCCGAATTTCGACCCGAGCCGTGGAGACAATTTGGAGACATGGTCGCAGAAGGTGGAGTTGGTGGCCAATGTCTGGCCGAAGGACAAGTACCCGGAGCTCATCACCAGGTTGATCTTGGGTTGCAGTGGATCAGCCTTTCAGAAGCTTCAGTTACAACAGGCGGAGCTCAAGACGGGCGACGTGGAGGCGGTGAAGAAGATAATTTCCATCCTGGGAGGCACTTGGGGTCAAGTTCCATTGGAGAAGAAGTTTGAAGCCGCCGAGCGAGCCTTATTCAAGATCACTCAGAAGGGAGATGAGACAAACGACTCCTACCTGGCCAGAGCAGATGTGGAATGGTTGGAGATGTTACAGAAAGGGCTCGACATCAAGGAGCTCCAAGCCTATGTTGTTTTGAGGAATTCTCAACTCGCTCCCGAGGACAAGAAACGCGTTCTCGTGGAGAGTGGAGCAGAGGCCGGAAATGTCCTTACCATGCCGAAGGTGAATGCGGCAGTCCGGATGTTGGGCACAAGTTTCTTTCAGGACTACACGGGCATCAAGAAGAGTCGCAACAAGACCTATGATCAGGCCACACTTCATCTAGAAGACGCCGGAGAAGATGAAGGGGAAGATGCAGATGCCTTTCAGATGGAGGGTCTCACAGAAGAAGACATTCAGGAGCAGTTGCGGTGTGAAGGAGATGAAGATGCAATTTTGGTGGCTCAGTTTGAGGATGCGGCCACCGAGACCTTGCAAAATGATACCGAACTCGCCGCACTGTTTTCCACATATCAGGATGCCCGCAGACGGTTAGGGGACAAGGCCAAGTATCGTGGTTTTTGGGCTCCTCGCAAAGGCAAGGGCAAGTCCAAAGGCAAATGGACTTCCGGCAAGGGACAAGGAAAGAAGACCTTGTCACAGCGCATCATGGAGTCCAACTGCAGGTTGTGTGGGCAGCGTGGTCACTGGAAACAAGAGTGCCCGAACAAGGGACAGCAGTCAGCATCCAGTGGTCAGTATCCAGTGTCATTTGCCGCATCCGGAAGTGAACCCCAGCACAACACGTCGGAAGCCCTCATGCAGATTCCAGAGATCGCCCTGAGCTTTCAGGACTCATCCATGTCAGACTTGTGTTCAAATGAGGTCCATGAGGTTTTCACAGCATGTCACACCACAGTTTCCTGGCCCGCACGCAGGAACCTTAGAGAAGTGATCCGCCGAAGAAGTGAAAATCAGAAGCCACCGATGATTCCAGCCATTTCCCAACACGCCTCCAACACTGAAGTGATGGAAACGTTGTTTGCGTCACATGGAACCAAAGGTGTTGTGGACCTCGGAGCATCACAGAGCGTCATGGGAAGTCGGCAGGTGTCAGAGTTTTTGGATGGGTTGCCGAAGTTGGTACGCCAGCGTGTCCGAAAGTGTGCTTGCCGCATGGTGTTTCGTTTTGGAAATCAAAGCACCCTCACGAGCCACACCGCACTCATGGTACCCATCAACAAGCAGGGGCTGTGTGTGAAAATTGCTGTTGTAGAAGGCGGCACACCATTCCTCATTTCGAATGCATTGCTGTGTTCACTGGGAGCTGTCATAGACACAGGTCGGCAAGAAATCACATTCCAGAAACTTCAGAAAACAGTGACCGTGCATTTGTCCAGCCGAAATCTGTTTCTGCTTGATTTCAATGACATATTGCCAGATGACCTGAGTGACACGGCCCTTATCAGCCATAGCACAATAGATGCTGCACCGTCCGCTCCGTGTGAGCTGAAAGTCAGAGTGAGTGCAATCCAGATTGAGCCTGTCCAGACCGTGAGCCCCTTGAGCAAATGTAGAGGTGAGTTGCCAAGTGATAATGCGAATCTGAATGATCAGTGTGCTCAAGCCAGTGTGCCGTGTGTCACCGACCACGAAGTGAAACTTCCGAGAGACACCAATGTCGCTAGCACTGGCCGACCGCCTCAAGAACCTTCAGAAGATGATCCAGGAAGAGACACAACCACCAGTCGAGACTCTCACGAGGGACGAACTGGAGCACGAGAAGATCGCATTTGGAGCGGCCAAGAAGGGACAGTCATTTGCCAAGGCATTCAGCGACCTGAAGTGGACCAGTTGGTTTGTGAGCCACTACGAGGGATCCAGCAAGCGGGAGCACCAGACGTTCATCCAGTATGTGCATCTGAGGACGTTGGAGATGGAGGAACAGTCCAGTCAGCTGAAGAGAATGGCAGTGGCATTGAAACAGAGTCCCAAGGATCAGATCACCAAGTGGGAGGAGGACGAGGACCAGTGGCAGATCCCACAACAGGACCAGTCTCAGGGAAGCCAGACCGACCCGGATGTGCAGGCTCTGCAGAGCCGGATGTGCAACATCGAGAAGGCCTTGCAGGAGGTGATCCAACACCTGCATCAGCGGGACCGGCTGAAGAGCACCGAGACGGACATGTGAGCGCATCAGAGAGTGTGCAAGCGAGCCACATGCCACCGGAGAATTTCAGACAGCATACGCAAACAGTCAGTGATCAACAGTGGCATGATGCGCTTCATACGGTTCCCCAGGAATGTTTGCACAGCATGCCAGTCGACAGGTCCCTCACTCCGGCAGGAAAGATTCGGACCTGGGTAAATCAATTCAACAAGGAATTAGAGGAAACCCGTCAGAGTGTTAAGGGATCGCCCATTAAGTACCAGATTGACGTGCTTGAAGTGTTTTGTAGCCACCAAAGCCAGATCACTCACCAGGTCAATCAATTGGGAGGCAGGGCAATTCGCATGCATCAAGGGAGTGCTGATCTGAGCACCATCTCCGGGCGTCGCACATTGTTTCAACACATGGTGCAACGGAAGCCGAAGCATGTGTGGTTCAGTCCGGTGTGCAAGGCCTGGTGCAAATGGTCCCAGTTCAATGCCAGCCGGTCGCTAGAAGCCTAGGAGCAAGCGTGCCAGAATCGTGCAGATGCGTGCTGGCAAATTGCCCTAGGAATCGTGCTGGCAGAGCATCAGGTTCAGATGGGTGGACATTTGCATTGGGAGCAACCAGAGGGATCCAAGATGTTTGATTGCCCTGAGATGAAACCGGTGCACCAGAACACGAAGTCCTGCCGTTTTGACATGTGTCGTGTCGGTCAGCTTTGTGATCCGGAATCCGGAATGCCAATTCGAAAGCGAATGAACGTCCTGACCACAGACGATCGCATGTGGCAGATGCTTTCGAATCGGTTCTGTAGCCGAGACCACTCACATCAGCAAGTCCAAGGAAGTGTGGTCACAGAGACTGGCAGAATGAATCGGTCCACTTTCACTGAACAGTATCCACGGAAGTTTGCCCGTCAAATAGCGAAGTTGTTGATTCAGTCAGCATTGCCATCGTCGGTCCCTGTGGCAGAAGCATTTCCCGTGCAGTCCGAGCGTCCGACCAACAAGCGCCAATCCGAACCGGGGACGGGCACGGCCGTAAGTGAAGCCGTCAAAATCCTGAAGAAGCGTAGGATTCGCTTCAAGATCCGTCGTCCCCGGGAATATCCCGAGCCAGAGACGCCAGAGTCCAGCAAACGACCCAGAATTCAGGCAGACCCGAAGGAAATTTGGGAGCCGATTTTTGAGTTGGCCCGGAGGAGTGCACCTCCAAGGGAAAGACAAGTGATTGAGCAAGGAGCCTTGTTTGATGCCGTGCAAAGTGCTTGGAATGATGCCCAACTAAAATACGTCATGGTGGGGAGAGGGGTCAGTAGACATCAGCCACTTGCCAAGGAAAAGGACGTTGGAGCCGCACCGTACCGACGCATGGCCTTTGTTCACAGACGTTCGGGAAAGATTGAAGTGGAACCAAACTGGGAAAAGTGGGAAAAATTGTTGACCAAGCAGATCTACCGTCCCATGCCACCGTCAAGCATTAGCATAATTGGGTATGGGAATGTCAGTGAAACAAAGCCGCCCGAGCCTCCACGGGAGCGAGATCCTGACCCGCAGGGCGAAGCCGAATTGCAGAGATTGGAATCGCAAGGCGTGACTGAGGATCTCACTCAACGAGAAATCATAGATTTGACTTCTAGTGATCATGGGCCGGCATTTTTGCAACTGCCACCCAAGCAGCGCAGGGCACTCATCAAGGTGCATGGGAACCTTGGTCACCCACATTGCCAGAAATTGCAAAATGTCCTCCGACAGCAGAACTGGCCGAGTGACATGGTCAATGCCGTTGCGGACATGAAGTGTTCAACCTGCCAGGAGTTGCAGAGACCCAAGATTCAGAGGTCAGCGGCAGTCAAGGATGATTTAGATTTCGGTGACATTGTAGCCATGGATGGAATCAGTTGGAAAAACCAAGCAGGCCAAGAATTCAACTGTTACCACTTTGTAGATTACGCCACCAGCTATCAAACAGCCGTTGCCGTGCAGCATGAAAATTCGGAAGGTGCCATCAACGCCGTGCTGCAAGGGTGGATTCAGTGGGCTGGAGCGCCATACCACCTCCATGTTGATTCAGCAGGGGAATTGAATTCAGACATGTTTGCCAGCTTCCTTCAAAAATTCAACATCAGAGGAACCACCATTGCGGCAGAAGGACATTGGCAAAACGCCAAGGCAGAAAGACATGGAGGCATTTTGCAGGAAATCCTCAAGCCAGGGGATTGGGTCATGGTATGGAAAACTAAGAAAGTCGGTGATGGGGCCTGGATAGGTCCCATGAAGGTTGTTCAACAAGAAGGCCAAGAAGTCACCTGGGTCACGATGTCGGGAAAGCTGTTCCGTGCACCACCTGAACATGTGCGTCCCACATCCGCAGTTGAGTTTAACAAGGTTGAACATCAAGGTCCAACTCAGCAGATCATTCCACCCGGAGTCGTGCAATTGCAGGATTGGACGCGTGTGCCTGACACTTTGACCATACCTCGAACTCGGGCACCAGCAACTGGGGCTCCACCAGAAATCCCATCAGGATCCCATTCCCGGCCGGATCAGAGTGCGCCGACCAGTGAGCACCCAGAACGAAATCCCGAAGTAGAGCAACCCGATGTTGAACCCTCAGTGTCTAGGGCACCCTCGCAGACTGAAACATCAGGCATTCCAGAGATAGGGGAAACCAGGGTACCAGATGGGGTAGAGGTTCCTGTGCCGGAGGATGACGCCAGTCTGTTTCAGAGCACAGAAGCATGGAAATGTGAAGTCTTTCTCACAGCCGCAGATCTGGATCGATGGGCACATCATGGGGAGGAGGAACACCTTGGATTAGTGGTTTCCGCAGCCAAGCGCCAAAAGTCCGAAGTCAAACTGGCGGGTCTTCAGCCTGAGGAGCAGAAACTGTTTCAAGCAGCGAAACACCAGGAAGTTGCATCATGGCTGGACACCGGAACCGTGACCAAGATCCTGCGACATCAATTGCCTGAAGAGAATATCCTGAGATGTCGATGGATTCTCACCTGGAAGGATGTTGATGCTGACAATACCAAGGTACCTCAGAAACCATCAAAGAAAGCCAAGGCCCGTTTGGTTGTGTTAGGATATGAGGACCCTGATATTGAAAACATTCCAAGAGACAGCCCAACTCTCAGCAGACTTGGCAGAATGTTGCTGTTGCAGATGATTGCCAGCCGAGGGTGGAAACTCTCATCCTTCGATGTGAAAACTGCCTTTCTGAGAGGCAGCGCCAAGGATCAACGATTGCTCGGTATGGAACCGCCCAGTGAAATGCGAGAACAGATGAAACTGCAGCCATCCGAAATTTGTCAACTCTTGAAGGGAGCTTATGGTAGAGTGGACGCACCATATCTGTGGTATGAAGAATTCAGAAAGACTCTTCTGGGACTAAACTTTCAAGTGAGCCCATTTGACCCTTGTTTGTTTCTTCATGTTGATCCCAGAACCAACAGTGTCCATGGAGCCATAGGTGTGCATGTAGATGACGGCCTTTGTGGTGGAGATGCTGTGTTTGATGATGCCATCCAGCAACTGGAAAAGATATTTCCTTTTGGTGCCAAAAAGAGTGAAGTGTTCAAATTCACCGGGATTCAAATTCGCCAAGAGAGGTCAGGGAAGATTGTGCTTCAGCAGGAAGAGTATGTGAAGGACATCGATCCAATCGTCCTTGCCCGTTCCAGACGGACCAATCCCGAGGAATCCGTGTCGGAATCTGAACGCCAGCAGTTCCGTGCCTTGATCGGTAGCCTTCAGTATGCTGCCGTCAACACCCGCCCAGACTTGTCACACCGGTTGGGACTTATGCAAGGGAGGGTAAATCAGGCCCAGGTACAGGATTTACTTGATGGCAACCGTTTGCTTCATGAAGCCAAAGCCAATTCGCAGGTAAGCATCCAGATTCAGCCCATTCCTTTTCAGGATGCGAGGTTCTTGACATTCTCAGATGCCTCTTTCATGTCAGCCAAGACCACTGACGCATATCAGGGGATGTTCATATTTGCAACCAACACTCAATTGGAAGTGAACCAGAGGAGTCCCGTAAATCCCATTTCATGGCATTCAAAGAAAATCCAAAAGGTTGTAACCTCCACGTTGGCGGCAGAAACCATGGCTTTAGCCCAAGCCCTTGACAACGTGTCGTGGATTAGACTGTTTTGGTCGTGGATGATATCACCGTCCGATGCCTGGAAACTCGGAGATCAGACCCTTCTGAAGCTTCCTCCAGCAATTGCAAGTGTCACCTACTCTGAAGAAGAGGTACCTCCCATCCCGGTCTCAGCACAGGGTCTGACAGGAACCACCACTGCCACGGACTGCAAAAGCCTCTATGATTTGGTGAGCCGCACTGCACCACCCAATTGCCAAGAGTTTAGAGTACTTCTTCAGGCCCGTTTGATTAAGGAACAGTTGAAGTCGGGGATAACTCTGAGATGGGTGCCGAGTGGGGCACAGATTGCAGATGCTCTTACCAAAGCCATGGATCCCACCGCGATCCGCACATGCTTGCAGCTCGGCCGGTATGCCCTTCAGGATGAAGGTGAGATGCTGAAAACTCGAGCCACTGCGAAGGCCAGACTTGCATGGCTTAAAGCCAACGGGGAGCCATCCTCTGAGGATGCGTAGATGCAGGAGGGGGTTCAAGCGAACACTCATTTTTTGGGAGTGTCAATCGTGTGCCTTCGCTTGGAGATGTTCATCAGCAGATCGCAGCCGATGTGAATCCGTTTGCCCAGGGCCTCAGGTTTAGGGGAAAAGACCTTAGAGGGCGTGGCGCCACGGGGAAAAGGTCGCGGAGGAGCTCTCGGAAGGCGAGGTCGCCTGGGGATTTACAGGGTCCCTTTATTTTCCACTAACCAGGCAAACAATATATTTTTTGCTGGGGTCCTAATTCCAGCCTAGGGATAAGGCCAGGAAGTGCTCTACATCCGATTGCTGGGCGCTGAGTAGCACAAATGTTCCCAGCACGCACTGTTAACAGTTGTCCATTGGTTTCAGACCTACTCTCATTGGCACCCATTACTCCGCGAACTAGCCAACCTGAGCCGCACGTACACACCCGCTGGAAACTGCTGTAACGGTGGAGGGCAACCAGTGTTGGGGGTTGTGTGCTTTCTGGGTGCCCCAAAATTCCACGGATTCATTCTACCTTTTTCTTGCCAAAGCATATGAAACTGATGAGATACTGATGGGTTTCCTCAGTTGTGGCCACGGAACAAGCCCTGCTAGTGCCAAACAAATGCTTGACGGAGTCGATGTTGTTCCTTCACGTGGACCCCGTTTCGAACCTTTTCTCTCATCCAGAACAACAAGCAACACACGCGCACATCTAAATCGTTGAGTTTACTCATCCAAAACGGTGCTCGGACTCGTCCAAAAACTCTAGGGGTTGATTCCCCATTCTTGTCAACCATCGTTCTTTTCAAAAAACAGATCCGTTTCCCCTGGGTTTTTGGATGGTTTCCTGAAAAGATTCGGATCCCTGGAAAGAATGGAAATGGAAGGTAGCCCTAGAAAAGCCGGTTTTTCCCCAACACACCGAAATTCCAAAATCTCGGGCTGTGAGGGCGAACGCCAAAAACGGGAGGGGGTTTCACCAAAACCGGGAGCCACCTCCCCGCGTTTTTTCGAGGCTCGCGCGCCTGCGCGCGGAGTCCGCGGAGTTGAAGCTCTTGCGGCAGCGGCTGGTGACCTCCGAGCTCAGCGTCAAGGCTCGGTCCCACTGAGCCCAGTGGATCCAGCACAGGGTTGTGGGATCAAGGGGAAGCCCTTATTGTTGTATCACAGTGGTCATTTCCTCCAGCATGGTGGTTGTTGGAAAGCTTTTTTCCCATTCTTGCTTATTGTGGTTTAGTTGGAATCCAACCACTTAACTGCTCAAATTTACATTTGTTGCTCCCCTTCCAACGTCAACCAAGCCATGTACATGAGGTAACCCAGGAACCACACTTCAAAAACCAAATGGAAAATAGCTGATGACCTACTATAACTTCTATTTGCTCGAGAATGTTTTTTTTTTCATTTTCCCCTGTTGGTTTTAAAGGGAATCGATTTCACTACTGGAAATATATTCTTAATTTTTTTCAGGGGTCTTAACCAGATGAAACGGTTTTCTTTGTGGTTTTGATGTACGGGTTAAGCTTCTCTAACCTAAAGAGGTCGGACGGGCATCCTAAAATCACTTTGCGTTCTCTGAGGGATGCTGAAAGTTTCCGTGCCCCAGCCATATATCCCATCAAGACATTTGACCAATACTGGGAGTATGCAAGGTTAAATAAGTCTGGGGCACGTTGGTAGGCACTCTCACGTTCTGGTACGCTCCCCAAGTGTTCCCGCAGAGTTCCTCGGGTGTTTGAAGCCCGATTTGTTTGGCTGGGTTCCTTTCTCCACTAGGGGTGACTTTTTTTGGCCACCAGGGAATGGATCCAGGGATCCGCTACTACCACAAGGATTAACGGAAAAGTCAGACAGATGGCAGCTCGTCCGTCAATAACCGCACGGGCCGGCTTGTGCCCAAGTCACGTTGAGCTGGTCCTAGAAACAAGGCCGTCGGTGCCCTCAACCGGTCGCAGGGAGTGACTGGGACCTGGGACCCTGTCCAGTGTCCTGAAACACGGGTGAGCGGTTTGAGGTGGCACCACAGCAGCTTGAAGTGGGACCCAATACCAGCGGTCACACCAGGACTCGATGCCGGGGACCGGCTTCAGAGGTCTCAGGACCAGTCCCAGGACCGGTCCTGGGACCGGTCCCAGCCCCGGTCCTGGGACTGGTCCTGGGACAGAAACGGTCCCATCACTGGTTGCAGGACCAGTCCCAGTCCCAGGACCGGTTACGGAGGACCGCTCCCTGAAACAGCAGAAGCCAGGTTCCCAGGACCAGTCCCAGGACCTGGTCCCAGGACTGGTACCGGTCCCCGGACGGGTCCTGGGACTGGGAATCCACGTTTTGTGCGTTCAGGCGTGTCCGCCAGGGACCATCATTGATTCCAATCACTTCCAGTTGCATCCCACGCCGGTCCCCTCTGCAGGAGGCTGGGACGGGAGGCAGAGGGTCGGCGGATTACCAACTGGGTCTGTCGTATTTTGAAGTTAGTACCTTTTGTTTTCGTCTCCAAGGAAAACCACAAGGAAAACCGATGCCTTTCTTCTTCTCTTTTTTGTGCGTTTTTTGGGGGAGGGGCTTCCCTTCAAACAAACACCCACACGTCTAAGGGTAGCTTCCCCATGCTTTCCAGGGATCCTTCTTGCTAGAAAACCACCAAAAAGGGAAAGCAGCTGGTTTTTGAAAAGAACGATGGTTGAAAAGAATGGAAAGGAATCAACCCCTAGAACAAGCGTCGACTAGACTCACGTGCCGTGACCAGGACGCTGAGCGTGAGAAAGAGGAGCTGCAGACGCAGCTTGAAGCTGCACGGGCGACAACCAAGGCCCCGCGTCTCTGCTTACCTTGCTGGGGCGATACTGTGGATGGACAAAATCCTGCACCACCCATAAGAAGCAATGGGGAACCATTGTTGGTTGGTATTTACAGGGGAAGCGTCATGCATGTTGCCAAGGGATGTTGGGACTTTAACCTTTTGCCAACGAATGGATTTTCCCCATCAAGGCCACGAAGAGTTAGTCACTTTTAGCAGGGGAGCAGATTTCGCCACCGAGGGAAGGACTTTTTGACGGGGTCTGGGGAATGAAGTTGCAGGGGATGGGTTAGTTCGGGGTCATTCCTTTTCTCATGCCCTGAGAACCAGCAAGTTAGTCGTCCCGACTCATGAAATGTTTTTGTTTTGGTTTCAGGTTCACTGGATATGAAGTAGCCCGAAGCCCAAATATAGTTATTGTGTTGTGTTAGTGTCAAAATCTGATTTGCCCATCGTTTGCCCTTGGAAAGCGACCCCTAGTTGATCATGTTTAGTCGTAACACAGCCACCATTGTTAATACTGTGGATGGACAAAATCCTGCACTACTTGGACACCATGGGAAACCATTCTTTGTTGGTATTTACAGGGGAATCATCCTTCCAGGGTTTCTTAGGTGGTGCAGGATTTCGTCCATCCACAGTAGTGAGCGTCATCATCCATTCTTTTGAGGGTTGAACCCTACGGCTTGTTTTGGACTCCCAGTATTGCGCCAGAACAACCTAGTTCCTGCCTTTGCGCCACAACACACCGTTGGAGTTTGCCTGCTGGTTCGCCCAAACAACGCGCAGAAATGGACCCTGCTTGAAGCGTAGCAAGTGTACCCGCCCCAAAAAAATGTCGAAGGGCAAGGCGTGCTTGGAGCTAGCAAACGTTGAGCAGACACTTTAGTGGAAAATATTTTTGTGCTTGGAGTGATTGTCCCCAAATTTGCTTCGCGAGATATGACCTTTACAATTGAGGCGGGTCTCAGGAGTCTGTAGGGTGTGGCTTTCTGAACCAAACCAAACATAATCTGGCGAGGCCACTGAGAGCCAGCACAAGGCTCGTACAAACAGTACTGCACACCCTTTACTCCTATGTAAGCCCCAAACACCCAGGACCCTAAAAGGTGCCCTGTTCAAGCTTTCCCTTGTTGTGGGAAGGGGGTGGCTCCCTTGAGACAAGAAGGGTGCCCTTTTGCCTCATGGATCGATTGCAGGTCGGGGGAAGTGGGTGTGAGTGGCAGGCTGAGGCCGCGAGCGCGAGCAATCCCAGCGCCGGCGCAGATCCGCAGGAGCCGCTTGGTTGAGCATTGGGGCTATGAAGGGGCCCCAGTTTGTCGTGGATTTCTGGTTCTCCTTTCTACGGCTCCCTTGCTGCTTTTATTATGGCCACAGAGATCAGGATCCGTGCCTCAAGCAAGTTGCGCGTAGCAACTTGGTTTTGTCTAACCCAGGTCACCTGGGCTTGCACTTGAGTGTCACGGTCTGGATTTCCAATAGAGTGCCACTGCATGTGGTCCAGTCTGCAGCGCAACTCCTTTGGCACTTCAACCTCCATGGTTTCCACCAAGCCACTAGGGGAAAGCCCCTCGGAGGGGGGGGGTGGCAAAGTGGCCATAGGAGAGTTTACAATGAAACCCTTAGGTCCCGACGTTAGATTTTGCAGGGGTGTCCTCCAAAACGATTGCGCGCAATGTGGAAGATCAAATCAGAACCTAGGTGCCCCCAGTAGTTCCCTTTCACCCTTTTTTGGGGGAGGGTTCCCCTAAAATAGACTACAGCAAAACAAACGGGTACCCTTCAAACCTCTCTGGAGGACCTGGGAACAGATGGCTTTCTCTGCGTGGCCTGGGCCAAGTTTTACTCGAACAGCCCGAGGTCGCGTGAAGCGGAGTCCGCTGAGCTGAAGCTGCTGCGGGAGAGGCTGGTGAAGTCTGAGCTCAGCCTCAAGGACGGGCGAGCGGACGTGTGAGCGCCCGAAACCCGCTGTGGGTGGTGGGGAGGTGGAGGGGGGGTGGCTGGGGTGGCTGGAGGGGTGGGGGGGCGGCTGGGAGGGGCGGGGCGGGTTGCGGTGGGTGGGGTGGGGTGGGCGGGGTGTTCTGCAGACTTAACGGGCTGGTGATAAAATAACCATGTAAGTAGAATCAACAGCTAAGGAGTCTTGGGCGCTGGCTCACTGATCGTGTAAACCTTGCACGCTCCAGCCGGATTTCGTAGAGGTAGGGATCCGGGCTTCCACCTTGTCCCCTTGCACTTGTGCCCATGGCAAGGATTCGAAGTGACTACGCAATGGGTGTATGTGTGTTTCTTATCTGCTTCAGGTTTACTGTCATGCCTTGCCCCTTCTGAGAGGGCTTTCCATGTTTCACCCAACCTGTTTGGTGTCAACTGTACCCCAGAAAATCTGGCTTCCCTTCAGGTCACAACCCCGTGCGACCGGAAAAGGAGGGTCTCTAAGGTTGATTTAGGAATTGCCCCTCCAATTATTTTGTTTCGTCAGGCAGCACGTTTCACGGGTCAGCCAGATGTGCCCATTCTGCCAAATAGTCACAAGGCTGATCTTGCGCCGAAAAGTCAAGGTTCTTCTGATTTTTGGCCGGCCAGTCATCATGTTCATTGTGATGGGGGAGAGCCTGAGAACTCCCTCAAACTAGGATTCCTGAACAGGTCGTTAAAAAGATGTCCGCAGCGCCATCTGGAATATTCCCCAAAATGGGTCTTGGCACCGAGGACGCTGAGCGTGAGAACGAAGAGTTGCAGACACAGCTGGAAGCTGCAAAGTCGACCGTTAAGGCTGGAAGGGCCAGGACACCATCGCCTATGGTGGCTCAGGATGTGTCAAGAGTTCATCTGGGCTCTTCCAACCCTGGCTTCAGAAGTAGTGGTTTGGGAAGCCCGGGGCATTTTTCAAGAACCAGGCCGGTACAAAGGGACCCCAATGAAAAGCATCCCATGTCTACGGACCAGCCACCTTCAGGGCCCTAGACAGGAGTTTGTGTGTTTGTTTGTTTTTTGCATGTGCCCCGGTCGCTCGGGAACAGTCAGTTGGCTTGTATTTGGTGCATTTTTTTGGATGTTAGGACTTTAACTTTTTGCCAACTAACGGGTTTTTCACTAAACCGCTAAAAGTTAAAACTTTTAGCAGGAGCAGAAAGCAACCGAGTTTTGGTGGCCTCAGTTTGATGGCTCCCATGTTTGAGAAATACAGATACCGTCGTGCCCCCACCGCATCGCAGGCTGAGGGCGGCTGCGCCGAGAGCGCTGGCATAGATTCCCAGGAGCTTCTTGGCTGGACCCAGTTCTTGCGTGCTGCCCTGTGTCCTTCTTTTGGGGTGCTTGCGTTGGCTAGGTGAATCCCAAAAAGGCCAATGCGCGCACACGGCGAATCCCACAAGTTGATCAATCCCAAAGTGGGTCCCCTCCTTCCACCAAGGTTGCTGGGAAACTGAAACTGGGTAGACCTGAGACGTGGACAAAGCAACGCGGATTCGGCCCGATGTGTGCCTGTGCCTGTGCCCGGCGCAGCTTTCAGGAAACCACCGCGGATCTTCCATTTGCTAAGAATACGTTGTTTTTTTTAAAGGGAACCTATCACCACTGGAAATATTTGTATTTTTTTCCCAGGGGTCTTCACCAAATGGAAGGTGTGCGTATATGTTTTGTGTTTTTGATGGTACCCCCTTTGGGAAGGGTTCAAAAGGGGGTCTGAAAGGAAGTAACCACGCGTTGTTTCCTGAACGGCGACCTCAGAGGACCTCTCTTGCTTTGACTCTTAAACTTACTTACCCTTTGAAGACTAAGTTGAATGGGATCCCTGAAGCAAAATCACATTTCGTCTCTCGCGCCTAGAGCGTTCCAATAAGAAATAAAGCGTGACTCCTTTGCGAAGGGTTTTGTTGTGAGGAAGCTAAGGAGCTACCAGGAGTCCTGCAAGGACATGGTAGCAGGTGGTTTCCAATCTCCTGCAGAATGGGAGAAGATGGGGAATCAACGGGCGGGGAGTTGGCTGAGTTGAACCTGGCCTCGGTTTCCGCATGAGCCTCCGCATGGCAACCCCAACCCCCTTGGACGCTTGGAGATTCGGCGGATGACGTGTTTTGCTTTGTGGCACGCAGACTGCGCAGACTTATCGGACTCCGCGGGCTCATCGGACTCAGCGGGCTCATCGGACTCCGCGGGCTCAGCGGACCCATGACTCAGGGGACTCATCGGTCTCCGCGACCCATCTCATCAGATCGGACCCATCGTTGGACCCAGAGCTGATCGGATTCATGAGCGCCATTTAGTGGCAGTGCTTTGCAAGCTACCTTCCTAGGTGAAGGTTTCCCCTTGCAAATGGTGCTCAAGTGTGGCATCCTACCAACCCCCCACCCCCCAACCCCCCTCCCCCCGCGCGGCCAAGCGCTTGCCCAAGGCTGGCGCGCCTCCGCTCAGAGTCGGCGGAGCTGAAGTTCACCCGCGAGAAGCTGCAAAAAGCTGAAGCCAGCATCAAGGATGCCTGGCGAAGAACTCGGCCCCAGACCTGTGGGGCATGTGTATTCCATGCGTGTGCTTGAGCTTTGCTCCCAGCCTTTTTTGTTGAAAGGAGAGAATGCCACAATGTTTGAGGGGCAGAAAATGCGTTTGTTTAAATGGGGGTTCCCTTTAGACTTAGCGTGAGGGGGCTTCCTTTTATGACCGGGTATCCAGGGAGAGACCACGAATGGAACCATGCCAAGGTAAGCTCACTCAGTCGGCAAACTGGAAGCTTGTTTGGGGTCCTTATGTTCAAGAACACGATTTCTGTAAGTTGTAAATTGTGACGCCCGTGTCATCGACCTCGGGTTAATACACAGGGCGGACCAACAGGGGCGGGTTTTGGCCAAGTGAAGGACCTAACTCCCGGCGTTGAGATCCGAATGTTGGCTAGGGTTTTCCTCTGGACTGTTTGCAGAGACCTGCGGAATGAACATGCTACTTTGATCGGGGCCTTGAAGAACCACTTTCCTTCAGACCAAAGACATGGCTTTGGGTGTTCCTTACCACGGCAAAAAACATCGGTCTTCCAACTAAGCACACGTGACAGCCTTATTTTATGAAAACAAACGCATTCAACTCGTGCTGAGCCGCCCCTTGTTTGCATGTCAGTGTAACCAGGAAGTCCTAGAATTACATGCTCGGTAAACAACCCCTTCATAGGCGAAGGCGGCCTGACGAGATGAGGCCCATGCTTTTGCGGTGCTTGTGCGCATGCACAAATGTATGTGTGTGTGTAGTTCAGTTCGATTTGAAGGACGAAGTAAGCGGACCTCACCATTTTGGAGGGTCTGCATCCATACTCTGACACATCCCTACCCATTTCTGGGGCTTGACACCCGCCGTCCGAGGAAGCCGAAAGTGGCAGAGACAAAATCAAGACGGAGCTTGACATGGCCAAGCGCGAGCTTGACCAGGCGCTGCCAAGAACCAGCTCCATTTGCTCGAGAGGAATAAAGAGAGCGCACTTAAACCCCAGTTCCTAAGCCAAGGGAAGGTTGATGTTTGAAGGGGACACATGGGGAACCATTACCCTTTTCTTCCGTTTGCTGAAATGAGTGTGTGTTTTTTTTTTTTATTATTTTCCAACCGGTTGGTTTTCAAGGGAACTTATCACTATTGGGTTTGGGTGTTTTTTCCTGGGGAGTTAAGCAAATGGACGTTCTCCAGATTCGATTCTGCCAAGGGCAGGGTATGGAAAGTGGGTTGGATTGTTCTTTGGCTGTGTGGCTGTTTTTGTTTGTTTGTTGTGCTTGGTGTCTTTGTAGTCGTTCACAAAATGTGCGCTTCGTTTGACGTTTTACAGTCGTTTTGATTATGTTGATTTGTTCTTTGGCCCTGTTTGTGCTGTTGAATGGTGGCTGGACCCATTGGCACGTGCATACTTCAACACCATAGGGGGTGCATTCCTTGACAGAAGGCAGAAATCCGAGTTCAACGATTTTGGTGTCCCGTTGTAGGAACCATTTATCATTTTGTAAGCCACTTAAAGGGGCTTACATTGTATACTTGTTGGCGGGGTTACAAACTATGGTTACCAACTACTGCTGACTGAAGCAGCATGTTTCCCCTGTGATTGCACACATGAGATAGAGAGAGAGATAGAACACAAACACAAAACACTTGCTACCATGCCTCTGTCAGTACTCAAAGCTTGCTGACTCTGAGTAAAAAAGCAACACACCCAGAACAAACCTAGGGTTCCCTTCAAAAAACGAGCAGGGATGTTTTTCAGAGGGTTCCGGAAATTGCCTGAGAACCCGCCAGAAGGCCAGACGGTCGCCACTCGGTATCCTCAGCTTTGGGCCCAGGAAGGTTCCTTGAGACACAGCTGGAGCAAGACACTAGGGGGTTGATCACAAGGTCTGTGACTAGGGAAACCACCGAGAAAACAAAAAGACGTCCTCACCACATGGCAACAGTTACCCATGGGCAAAACTGGGGGCCAGAATATGGATCAACCCTCATGAACACTCCTTTTTATATCACCTACAGAGACAACGGCTTTGGTCCATTTGCCTTGGAGATCTGCATGCCAGGCCAAGGCTAAGGAGGTTGCTGCCAAGGAGGCCAGCTCCAAGAGTGAGGCTCGCTCGACTCGATGGACCAGTGCCGAGAGACCTTGGGACCCTGGCCCTTTAGGGAGCGCAAAAATATTCGAGAACCCTATCGGCGGCTGGGCGATAGGTTCCTTTGCTTGTTTTGGTGCTCTCCGTATTTCCTTTTTAAAGGGTTTTCAGTTCTGCTCATTCTGAGTGGGTCGCCCAGTGTTTCGACCTTCGCAGATGGCCTGCCAGGAGTTTGTGCACAAGAGGACATTCGCGGGGTTCTCTATGCGTTCCTGTGAGAACCCACAAAAATTGTGTGTCGTGTTGGGTGTGTCAACCCAGAAAATGCTTTTGTGTCCACTAGTTTCCCTTAAAACCAACCTGGAAAAAATGTCCCTTTTGAGAAGGATCCAACAAGGTTTGTTTGGCACGGATCAAGCATTGCAGGCTAGCCGCTTTCAAAGATCATTCCTCATGGTGCTCGATTTCTGGGACCTGTGACCCCCTGTTTGAGTTCATATTGTGCGCCGAAAAATTGGATTTGGATTCCCAAGGTGGCGTTTCTTTTGATGCCTAAGAAAGAAAACAGTCCCAAAGATGGCATCCTCAAGGAAAACACACCATGTTGCCCACTAACTGGGCCCCTGCATCTGCGCACAGAAGCTGCAGCAAGTTCTTACCTGCAATTCGCCACAAATAGCAGAACCATGCAGAACCTCTGATTTGTTTCTTGCGTCGGAGGCCTCGTTGAAGGAGGCCCTGGCTGCCAGGCGACCGGACTGGGAGTCAGGTAGAGCCCTGGCAAGCCGTGTGACTTAGAGTCTCCTTCTGACCCTGAAAATGGTTGGTCTGGTTGGTCATTGTTGATAGGTAATGGCATACCGACGTGATACTGGCTCAAGTAAAACGAGCTGCCGCCTGTGCTGAGTTTTAGGTAGATCCCACCTTTCAACAGGTTATCAGCCGTATCGCTGGTACCTTGTACAGTCAGCTCTCACCCGCGCCGCAATGGCGTCAAGCGGCGACGGATGCCACCCTGCCATAGCAAGGATGAACGAAGCAGTGGCCAACGAATTGATCAAGGGAGGGCATCCGGAAGGGAAACCGCCATGCAATCCGTCGCAGCGCTCCCGAAGCAGTTTTCCTGAATCCGACCAAGGTGACGCGCTTGTGCCCATCACTTCGGTCGTCCTTCCGGAGGATTCAATGGGAAGCAGAGGGGAACCTCTTGCCGGACATCAACCTGGGCAAGAGATGCACGCGCACATGACTAAGAATGAGACTCACCTTCATCAACATCATGTGAGCGCCCCGAATATATATCAACATAGCCAGACGGTGAATGTGGTCAACACAGGTCCGAGCACGGAGGAAGTGGCTGCCTATGCTTCGGCACGCCACGACGCCATCATCAATCAGCTCCAAGCCGGCCATGTTGAGGAAAAAGGCCGACTCTATCAGGACGCGGTGAACCACATCAATGTATGCCAACAAGAGGCAATGGCGAAGGAAAGAGAGTTTAACGAGGCAAGACAGCAGTGGGTTGCTCAACGCTCAGAAGCTGAACAGAAGTATGAACGGCTCAAATTGATTTGGGAAGTCACCCACAACAAGCAGAAGGAGGAAGCGGACAGGAACGCTGCTGAAATGAGGGAGATTATCATGAAGCAGTCGAGGGACATTGAGGCACTACGTCATGAACTGAAATCTCGCAGTGAGCAGAGTAGTTCTTCTAATGTTCCGATTTTCGGTCTGAGGCCAAAGGCCTCTCCTGTACAGACGTTTCCTCCCCCTGGCCTGGATCTTAGTTCTAAGGTACGTATCAGGTCAGCTTCCACCGAACTCCGCCGTGACGGGCCAGGTGCCGCCGATGATCTTGACGGGGATGCCGGGGATTACGAACCGACATCTCCGGCACAGGACCTTAACGATGGTGGCGGATGTCCATCAGGCGCAGGGAATGGCCAGAGCGGAGGCGGTGGGGAACCACCTGCCGGTAATCCCGATGATGACGATGATCCTGACGACGACGATGACGATGGGAATGACGATGGGAAGAAGAGCAAGAAGGACAAGAAGAAGAAGAAGAAGGATAAAAAGAAGAAGAGCAAGAAGGACAAGAAGAAGAAGAAGAAGAGCCACAAGAAGCGAAAGAGTGGGTCTCCTTCCGACTCTCCAAGCTCTTCATCATCCAGCTCCTCAACATCATCATCCTCATCATCATCATCGGAGAAGGCACGAGTGATCCGCAAGAAGCTCAACAAGATCTTGGGTAAGCAGGCGAGCGCAGTGGACGCAGACCATGACAAGCCCAAGGTCAAGGAGGCGGAGAGGATTATCATTCCCTCCTTCCCACTTCCTGAGAGTTACAGGAATTGGCGCATCAAGGTGCGGGAAGCCGTATGCGCGGCATCCGATCGCCCCGATGACGCTTTCACGTGGATCAGCAGAGTGTGGGAGCCCGCCGTTACAATCGAGGAGCTCAAAGAACCCGGTACTTTCCTCACCTTGGACGCCAAGTTGCTATCCGCCCTCACCAACATCATTCAGGGTGACCTGGCGAGACAAGTCGACACCTTCAAGGAGGTAGAGGCGCAGAAGAGGAATCCAGTTCGTGGGAGACAAGTGCTTCTCATGGTGCACGAGCACCTGAGCACGAACATCAAGCACGGAGCCACCTATGCCATGGAAGATCTCCTCAACGTGAGGCTCGTGAACGATAACCTCACTTCCTTCATGCGTAGCTGGGAGGGTGTTCTTGCAGGAATGAATGCCAAGACACCAGCTGACTCCATGCTTGAGGCTCTGTTCTACAACCAGCTGAAGAAGAGCAAGCAAATGCAACACCATTTGAATGTCTATTTGAGCGCCTCGGAAGAGTCCGCCGATCACTCATACACCTACTTGATTGAATCTGTGAGGCAATACCTGTCTCGAGCAAGGCTCGAGCGCAACCGAGAACGGGTTGCTAGGCAGAACGGGGGTAGGCCAGCCGCACCCGCCGCTGAGAGCCAACGTGTGCCTAAGGGGTTTTGCATTGCATTTGTCAAGTATGGGTCGTGTCGGCGGGACAATTGCACGTACAAGCATGAACAGCCATCGGGCGATGCCAGGGGTAGGACCCCATCAAGAGACGCTAAGCCAAAGAAGGGTAAGGGTAAAGGCCGAACGAATAGCCCAAAGGGAAAGAAAGAGTGCCGTTTCTACCCTAAGGGGAGGTGTGACCGTGGTGAGAACTGCCCATTTGCTCACATCGACCCGAAGCCGGCCGTTCCAGGGTCAAGGGAGCCATCCGCAGACAAGCAAAAGAAGCAGGGAAAAGATCGGAAGCATCGCAAATCGAGCAGGGATCGTTCCAAGTCGACCTCTCGATCCACTTCCCGTGATTCCAAGGGAGAAAAGAAGAAGGGTCACAAGGGAAAGTCTTCCGGAAAGCCCTCTCCTGCTGCCGTTTGCGTGTTGGGATGCCTATTGTCTTCCATGATGAACGCCCCTATCGCTGAGGGGAACCTCATGTCGGACTGGAAGCATGTGCCTGCCCTCCCGAGCGTGCGTTTCAGCTCGAAGGTTGAAATGAATAGGATACCAGCACATGGTGAGCAGTTTAAGATCGCGGACAAACCGCGCGTGTATCCAAAGGTCTACCCAATCGACCATCAGTTTTTCCATGATGATGTTAGCATAGATGATGCTAGACTCGAAGCAACCATGCTCGCCTTCATTGTGAGGCGTGAATTGGAAGGCCATCCGACTAGATGCAACTACGAATGTGACAGCGAGATCGGATGCTGGCAATGCGCCCCGAGAGACATGGGCGCAAAGCCCGCCTTGGCGAGCAAGAGATTCTCTCCGAACTGTTCATGGATTATTGACACTGGGAGCGGGACTGATCTTTTTACACGTGCGAATTGCCCCGAATATGCAATTTATAATTCAAATGATCCCGTGATGTTGATGACTGCCAATGGACCAAGTGATTCGTCAAAGCAGGCCAACATGGCCGCAGGTGACCTTGGGAACACGGATCCATATTTGTTGCCACAAACACCCTCTGTTCTCTCCGTAGGTTTGAAATGCATGAATCAGGGTTATGACTTCATATGGCATGCAAAAGAGAAGCCATTCTTTGTCAAGCCTGATGGGACGAGAATTTATCTCAAAGTTCGAGATTATGTCCCGTACTACGACGTGTGGGATGGCGACTCAGCAATGGCGTGTCCCGCCAAAGGCACACCGCCAAGCCGACCGGAAGGTCAGGTCGCCAGAAGCAATGCACCGAATGAATCGTCACACTCCTCCTCCGTGCAAACTGAGGATGCCGCGGAAGAAGAGTATACGCCTAGCATTGCCCCTCTAGAGGATCCTGAGGTGCATGCTAGAGTTGTCGCCGAGCTTCTGGCGAATGACCCCGTTGAAGTCCATCCAGATGAATTTGCTGAGCCATTAGAGAGTAAAGATTTGGCAGGGGAAGATGTTGTTGGCAACCCCGATAAGAAAAGCCCCAGATCACTTGCAGAAAGTGCCCTAAGGCAGGAAGCAGCATCACGGAAACACCTAATGACACACCAGCCAAAGAATCCATTCTGCGAAGTGTGCAAATGCGCCAAGATGACCAAGTCTCCCTCTCGCTCGCGGGGGGGATCCAGACAAGTTGATGCTCGAAAATTTGCTGAGCATATCACAGCCGATTTCATAATCACTGCAGACGAACAGGAGCTAGGCATAGACGATGAGTACTCTGCCCTTGTCATAAGTGACGTTGCCACCGGTTTCAAATACGCATATCCTTTTGCTAAAAGAAACACGGAAGCCACTGTGAAAGCGTTTCAGCATTTCACTTCCTCGTCAGACGAGGTTGGCACGTTTTATAGTGACAACGCCCCTGAGTTAATTGCTGCAGCTGAACAGATGGGCTGGAGACATGTCCTCAGCCAAGAGTACATTCACAAAACGAACGCGGTGGCTGAACGAAGCATCAGAACCGTGCTCGAGGGAACTCGAGTCGCACTTGCACAGGCCGGGTTGAATCATTCATACTGGCCGCACGCCGCAAGGCACTGGTGTTTATCTCAGAATGTTTGTGAGCCACCTTCTGGTTCCAGAACACCGTGGAATCTTAGGTTCGAAGATGAGTTCAAAGGTCAGTTCTTGCCGTTCGGATGTCGCATAGACTACTGGATTGGCCCAAGACAGAAACCGAAGAAGGACTTGAAGTTTGATCCCACGTCCAATCCGGGAGTGTTTGTCGGGTATGTTATCCACCCCGGCTTTCTCTGGAGAGGTGACTACCTCGTTGCATCGTTGAAAGAGCTGAATGAAACGGACTTTGATGATGTTGTGAAGTTGCATCGTGTTTTCAAAATCACGAGGCCCGATGCAAACTTTGTTTTCCCGATGCAGGACCGTTACAAGTCCCTTCGAGAGGGTAAGATTTCATCAAGTCAGTCTGGTCCCACCATTCAGGATGCCCCTCTCCTAGAAGCGGGACAAGATCCGGAGGCTGTTGCCGATGTGGAAGATGAGACGCTTCTAGATGGTGGGTTAGTTGAAATCCCGAAAGAAGGATCCTCATTCTCAGAGGCGGGAGGCTTTCTGGTGAGGAAGTACAAAGGGACTAACCGACCACCCACTATATCCTCTTTCGTTTGGCAATCTATGTCTCAGAAGCAGCGTAGAGAGGCTAAGCAGAAGTATGAAAAGGATAAACTGATCGAGACGTTGCCAAGCACAGCTGATCGACCAGCGTCGAGCAAGGAGCGCAAGGCGGCCG